TCCAAGCCAGTTGATTCTATGATTCTAGGAACTTGGTTTGTATCAGGCAACACACATAGAGCAGAGATGGGTAATTATGCATGGCACAAAGCACTGGTGAGACCTCTGGAATAACAGGCATAATTCTGGTCATCCTGATCCTAAAAAAATAAACTCGGCTGAAAAAGACACAGGGAAGAGTCACCAGGGAAACAAGAACCTGACAAGGGAGAAAGCAGCCTGGCTTGTTCAGGTCTCCCAAAATGAAGGCTTAGATTGTTGTCAGTAATTGCACTTAGGCCAGAAGTTAACATCAAGGGCAGATAAAATAAGCAGCACTACCACCTGAACAGATGGGGCCAGGTTGCCTGCAAGTCTGATCTGGAAATGAAAATGTTTTAGCTCTGAGAGGACTAACATGCTAGGTCACTCCCCTAAAGAGAAAACGTGCTGAATGTTCATAAACCTGGAGACATCCCAATATTTCTGGTTACCTTCAAAAGGTAACTGAAAGGCAACACTAGGAAAGCAAACATCATTCTCAGATTTGTGTCTGAAAATTCCTTCACAGGTAACAATTTTCTCCCATCTCTGAATCTCCATCCCCAAAGGAATACTAACTGTGATGTGATATGGAATGGTTGACTCCTTCTGACTCGGTGATTTGTACAACGTTGCCAACCTGATTAAACAAAAACCAGGTAAATTATGATCAGTGAATAAAGCAATAAAATCTTCAAATAACCCAACATCCAAACCCAAGTTTTCCCACAATCATGGGGTAGGTACCACTGGAATTCTTATGTCTGTATTTTCATATAGGTCATTTAAACTGTGGATGCCAAATTCCCATCCTTACATGACCTGTCAGCTCAAACACAATCTAAGACCTACTAAAAAGAGTGAATGATTAATTAGCCTTGTTTCATCACAGGATTTGATGACATTTTTGGAACAATATTCATTATGAATTAATTCCAAATGTCACTTTCCTAAAATGCAAACAAAGAAGGTTTTGAGCACAAATCCTTTCTACTCCATTAAGCAATCACTGACCTCTCAAAGCTGGGGGAGACCCTCAAGTATTCCAATACTCTTTTTCTAGAGCTTTCACAAGCCTGTCAGTATGACCTACAGCCTGGAGATGTTCTATTTCTAAGCCTGACCTTGCCATTGACATAAGCACAACCTTGAGAAAACAGTTTCCCTTGTATTTCTCCTGACACTTCCCTGATTCTGTGTGTTTAGACTCTAAGCAATACACCTCCATCTGTGTGATACAGCACCTAGGCAGTGAATGCTTGCATGATACAGACAGAAAATTGCCAAGCAGCTCAAAAGCAAAGGGTTTTTCAAGCTGTGCCAGGGCAGCTGCTCTGCCCCATGCTCACCTCCCCACAACTGCCACTGACGTAAGCCAATACACAAAGTGTTCTGCTCTCTGTATCAAGACAACCTGCCAAAGATCCTGTTAATTATTTTTGGGGTTTTTTCTTCCTCCCTCAGGTGCTATTCTATTAGAGAGCACGTAATTACAGCCTGAGGAACACTGCCACTTCATGTTAGCTACGCAGGGAATTCCACAGAACATTGAAGTGGTGGGTTATACTTGACAAAATAGCCCAAATCCCAAGCCAGGCTTTCACAGGAGCTCAGCTGGAGCCTCTGACTCAACGGGATCTTTCCTCACAGCAGTGAGAACCCTTAGAATTAAGCTCTGACATTTTCAGTAGTAGTGAGGAAGGAGAAGACAGGTATCATAGTCAGCCAAAGCACAGAATAGGCAAATGAATCCTCAAATGGTCTTTGTGTCTCAACAACCTGAGAGAAAAACAACAACAAACCCAGGAGGGATCATCAGGGATAGGCATTTATGTAAAAATGCAACAGTATTGAGCTATTTCTGCTTTCCCAGAGAGGCAGTTGTAGCCAGAACTGCTGTTTCTGCAGGCCCTGCCTCACATTAGCTGCAGATTTAGATCAGTAAATAAGCCACTTTTGTCTATCTTTGGCTTGTTTCTGGAACTTGTCTCTGCAGCCTTCCTAGCTCTGTTGCAGAAGAAAAAAAAAAAGTTCTTTTGGTATATAAAATTAACTTTTGTTCACTCTGCAATCATTATGTTGATATAACTTCTGTCTTATAAAGGCTGTTAACTAATCAGGGATGTTAATTTAATTCCAAATTAAACAGCCTGTGCTGTAATCATTCTGCATTGCCTTCAAACTTAGAATTTAAAACCAAAACTGCACAAGAAAGTGTCACTGTATGTCTCTGTCAAATTTAACCAGCCAAACTATGCACAACAACATTCCAGCAGCATTTTTGTTTGCTGTTAGCAGAAGATTAGGGAATTGAAAAGGCTCCTTAATCTCAAGCTGCTGCATGGTGATACTATATACAAAACAATTTTAACTGGCCAGGAAAGAGAAATGACCTTGCAATGTAGTGAAGAAGGGAAAAAAGAGTGAGGAAACAGAGAAGATCTCACTGCAACACACAGAACTTCACACTGTTTTTTGAAGGGTCATTCCTCTGGGTGTCTAACACCACCACTGGCTGTCAGTGCAGCTCTTTTTGCCTCTCTGCAGGTCACTCTAACTTGGCATCTGGTCAGAAAGAAAGTGCCACCATGGTGGGAAGGAGGAACCTGACAGTTCAGCCCACACTGTCTCAACCTGACAAGGAAACTCTTCTTGAGACATGACAGACCAAGGCCAGAAACCAAATTCAAACCCTTGTTTCGCCACTCTGACCAGTCTGAAAAGATTCTCTGATGTCACACTTGCCCTTATGATGCTGTTCCTCACTGGTCCACGTTGTCACTCACCTCTGACTGTTGTCCCAGTGGAAGATTAAACGGACAGTGGCAGCATGTCCCCAGCTTTCTCCTGAGGGACACAAAATGACAGGCCATTTTAGTTATCTCCTGGACCACATCACCATCAGTAAACTGAACTGAAATTAGACCAGTTTTCCAAAAAAAAACACAACCCCATGATTAAAACATATATTGCCTTTTTTGCAGGGATGAATCACATCTCTTTCATACGTGCAAGGATCTCTCAATACATCAAGACAAGGAATAACCTCTGTACTCACAGTGTCTGTTCTAGAAATCTTGATGCAATTTATAGACACCTCATAAAGGAGAGGTACTAGAGAAATCTTGAAAACAGAGGCAGCTTGAGGAAAGGATTTGTCTAATTACTACCGAAGAAGTCTAGTGAGTATGTCTAAATCCTCCTTCAAAATTGTGATATTCTGTCTCTCAGGCATAATTATGAGCAAACATCATTCCCTTTGGGATACAAGCTTTGGGAGAAAGTCAATGATTATTAAAGCATTAAGGGCCCCTGAAGCAGTTTTCTGCTTCTGACAGCAAAATGCACAAGAACACAACCCAAAGCAAGGAGCAGAGGGGGAAGGAGAGAAGGAACTGGATTGTTATCCTACTTCAGGGGAACTGTCCTACTGGCTCAGTTCACACCTGACCACAAGCTCAGCCAATTTAAAGCCAGTTTTATTGAGTATTTTCCTCTGTTTATCCCAGAAGAGAGACAGCAATCCAAAGATGAATTGCATTTTAAAGTCATTTTGGTCAAGTGACCCAAGTCTCTCCTGCCCACAGCCCATAACCTGGAATCACTCACTGGTCTCCACCACATCTCCAGCCCCACATGCTCTGGTATTCATTAGAGCACAGAGAAGAGGAAAAAAAAAGTGATTCCACTGTAATGAAGACCTAGATCCTCTCGGCACCTTGCCAGCCATTGCTCCACTCTATCCAAGTAGAGATTAAAGATTTTGCCTATCAGATACAGTTCCAAGTCAGAGATCAAAACACATTTTACAATGGCTACAAATCCCACACCAGAATGTTCCCAACTGTATTGAATAGGAGAGAAAAATGCTACTGTACAATGAGATGTTGCTGAGTTAAACTGTCTGTAGATTAATATTTGACCTCCTTTCTAAATATATCTAGGAGAAATGTCTAGGAACACCCAGCTTAGCTACCAGTAGTGGGAAAGAAAGCTGTCCCCTTCCTAAAGCTCTTGACTTAATACCTTGCAGCATCTGTGCTTTTTTCTTCTGGTTTTTTTTTTTTTCATAATTAAGACCCTCCCTTCTGCTCAGGAGCTGAATCAGAGTTTAGAGATTAATGCTCTTGTGAAATCTTAGAAGAAGCTGTTTCTAAGGCTTACCAATCAATGGGGAAAAAACTACTTAGGGGAGGCAACAGGATTGATTGATTTTACTTGGGGTTTGCTGCTCTCCCTTCCCTCAATAGCTTCTTTGGCTACAACCAGCCATGAAGGAGTAGGAGATTGTTTAGCCTCTACAATGAGATTTGCAATACCATCAGAGCAGAGTGTAAAAATCACCCTGTGACCACCAGCTCAGTAGTTACACCAAGTCTATGGGATGAAAGTAAACAGCTTTGTACCACTCCAAAGTGCTCAAGTTGAGATAATGCTGCTTAGCATGAGAGGAGTTCCTCTTTGCTTCAATACTGTACCAACTGGCACAAAGTTTCATTTTTTTCAGTACACAGCACTCAGTTTAACAATACTACATGGTCACACACACACACTGGTGAGACTCACAATCAGGTCAACGTGAGGTTATGTCCAATTAAATGTCTGTGAAAGAAAAGATGCACAAGACAATAGATGATATCTTTGAATGACAACCTCCTCTGAATGTCTTCACATTCTTGACTGTCCCTGTGACTCAGTAAACACAGCAGCTCCCAAACAATGCTGGCTAGTGAAGAAAGACAGTCTCTATTAGCTTTAATTGAATTTGTAGCCAGAAAGGCTGCCAAAAATCATCCATCAGAGAGTGAGAGGCAAAGCTGACAAAAAGGGTCAGATACTGGTCTGCAAGCACAGCTCCCAACTCCACATTCTTCACGTTCTTGGAGGAGATGTCTGTGCTTGTCCATTTTACCCTACATCTGTGCCAAATGCTTCAGTGCCTGCCCAGACACTGAGAACATCTCTGCCTTTGTACTGTCCCCTCCAGAACATAGGAATCATTACTTAGCTCACAGAAACTGAACCTGTGCACAGAGAATTTGTGCCCTTTAAGAGAATCATAAAGTAATACTAAGTTACAACCTGAAATGAGATTTAAACGCTGAACTTTTCCTTAATTTGTCGAAATCTCTACTTCAGAACTGTTCTGTTTTCCCCTGTGACTGCAGCAGAAGAGTCTGGATGAGATATTCTGCTGATTACAGGGCAGAATGGATTGAAAAAAAACACTTAAACTGGCTCTGGGCAGGCTGTGGCTGAGGATCCCACACAGAACCTCCCTCTACATCACAACTGCAATGGGCAGAGAGTTCCAGTGATGCAGCAAATATGAAATGCCTTTGCAAATAATTAATGGAACGTGTTCAAGGGTAATGGCAAACTAAACAATTTAAACTGTTTTGGAGAGGCAGTGAATGATTCTCAGGGAATTTAGGAAATTGCAGAGTAGTTTGAGTTGTGCAGCCATTAAGCACTGTTCTTCTTTGAGTGCTTTAACCTCTTCATCACCACATTTCTACTAGAGATTTCCTGCTCCCAGGTACATCTTTAGCATGATCATTCACCAGTCAATTTCAGTATAAATGACTTGATTTATCAGAGGTTTACTTAATTAGTTAAATAGCTGAAGCTCACCTGGCCCATTTTGGCAGAAATGGATTGGGAGACAATGACCCAAACAGCTCAGGATGCAGTGGTGACATCCAGGAGGGACAGTGACCTCCTTAGCTGTGACAGCTGTAACTCACAGCCCAAGATCCTCAGGGGAAGTACAATCCATTAGCTGCACATCTAAAAACCCAGTTACTGAGAGAGTTCTGAGTACTCAGTGCTTCCCCAGGAAGGGAGATTCCATCATCTAAAGAAATACTGATAATCTAATAGCAAATTTAGTATTAAAGATGTTGGTTTAAAAAGGAAAAAAACAATCCAACATCATTCTCAACCTATGAAAACTGGAAATGTCATGACTTGTAAACATATTTATAATCTCTTTTCAGAAATCTAACCAGGAGTCTGATCTGCACAGCACTTTCACTACAGAAAGGTGTTAATTCTAATCTCAAGGCTGCCACAGATCAGCACTGCTGTAGAGTTCCACAAAGCCAACTGTTCCAGGTGGGTCTAATATTTTCACCATGGATTCTGCTACACTGCAGAAATCCAGCAATTTCATTTTCTTTGTCCATGATGCCAAAGGAAAGGAAAGGAAGTCATATATCAATTTTCAACTCACAAGCTAAACACCTACCCAAAGCAGGTACCAACGTGGACTGGTTCTGTCCAATCCTTGTTGTCATTTGGTTTGTCAGAACTACCTAAAAGAGGAAACAGAAGCAAATAAGAAAATCTCCAGCATCCTGGTGGGAGGGAAGAGAGGGATTTTTCAAAAAAGCTTTTACTAATAAAGTAGTTACTCAGGCAAAACTTGTGCCAACTGTGAAGAAGCTTCTGTGCTAATGAGGAGAAACTGTAAAGGTGCCTCATCTTTTCCAAATAAGAAAACCCTGCAAAATGGTTTGAATGGCAGATTTCTTTCATTCAGAACTTTCAATTTCTCCCTTCTCAAGGGATGCAAACTGGACACAACTTCTTTATCCCACTGCATTTATGCCAAATCCTGCTGGATTTGTGTTTAGGTGCACTTGGCCTAGACCTCCATGAAGAGATAGCTTCGAGTCACTTGGGTAAATGAACTTGGTGGTGCTGCTCCAAGCATGCTTAAGCCTGGTGATTAACCAAATTTCTATGCCTTGTAGTCTAAAAATGCACCAGTGGGTACAATACAAAGCAGAATGGAAGTGAACAGACAGCGCGGGGGAGTGTTTTCGCAGCACGAATCACTTGTGGGAGGCTCACAGACAGTCTAGGTTAGATCCCTGGTAGAAGTGGGGGTGGGTGAGACAGAAAAGAGCCAGGAATATTAATCACAAAGTTCATTAAAAAATGAAAAATAAAAAAATTGTACCTATCTTAAACCCTAGAGATTTTCATTTGTCTGACATGCTTAGAGGATTCTTCCTCGGGCAGTTAGTGAGAGCAAACAATTCCACTGAGCACAAGGGGAACAGCCCAGAATGTTTCCAGAGATGAAAAGCCTAAGACATATATTGCATATTTTAGAGAAGTAACTCATCCAAAGTGGATGGTAACAGCCTCAAACAGGCTCCTCATCTCACTGCTGGGGAAGGGCTGGACTGGGCATCCTAGCAAAGCCTGCTGAGCCCAGCTTTAGAAATGAAAGGAACTGAGTACCTACCATATTAGAGCATCCAGGCTGCCCAAGCAGCAATCCCTGGCATGCAGGCTGGATTTAGCCTGCTCACAGGCTCATGGAACTAACTCAGGAACCAGCAAGAGCTAAATCATCCCTGAAGCTGTGACTGATGACTCCTTTAGCAAGAGTTTATGTAGCAAGAGTTTCTACTAACTCTTATCTGTGTTATATATGTTTCCCTTGACCAAAGGAAATACTGTCCAATGACAGCTGCTGCTGGTGAAGGTCACCAGGTGTCCAAGTGAGGAGTGAAAGCACTCAGGAAATTGGAGGCTGTGCAAACCCAGCAGGGAGGTAACATCCATCTCCCCTGGTGCCTACAGCAGCAGGAAGCAGCTCTATAACTCACGTCAGGGCGACAGGGAGGGCACACTTTGGGCAGCCAGCCCAGTCTCCCAGCCTGGTGGAACGTGGAGCTGTGCTCCTTCCCTTCCCACAGCTCTCAACGGAAGCACAAGGGAAGGTTTATTTTTAGCACCTGAGAACAAAAGCCAATTGCGCCAGAGAGTTGTGGGTGACAAGGTCGCAAGTCACCTGGAAACTGTTAGAGGCACAAGCACCATTTTGAGGCTGTGGAAGCTCTAATTCCTGAACAATGCTTCTCTGAGACTTCCAAAACAACTTCTGGAACAGCTGCAGCTTCTGAGTGCCATCTGCTGGCTGTGGCTCTGCTGCCACCATACTGGTGTCAATGACGTAGAGACAATGCCCAGGAAGGAAGCTCTGGGTTTCCATGGATGCCAGAAGAGAAAGCCAAACTAGCAGATAAAGTGCTTTTCCTCCTTCATTTTTAAAAGAAATGTGGAAAATTATGTTGGAACTGCTGAATGCTCCGAGGTATTTTCATGTGCGTCTTTGTAGGTAAAGTCACCAAAGGAGCATTCCTTGTCCAGCCAAATCATTCAAGTTGATGGGAAACAGCAGGACAAACTGACATGCTGCCATTTAATTAAGATGCACAGGATGCTGTTAGTCCAAATTTTACTTATTTTGGCAAGTCTAGGAATTTTCCACCTAAACAGTTTTGCCTGTGTGATCCATCTATATTTACTTACTAAACTGGCAAACATTCTTGCAGTTCTATTTTGCTATTTAGACAATCATCAATCACATTTGCTTAATTCTCTCTAATGTATTTATTCCAAAGTAGCATCTCTCGGGATTTAAACCTCCCCCAGACTTACTGCTGATTTATGGTCGTTGGCTATGATGATGAGCTGCTGTGCCAGACCATTCAGCAGCCTCGTTCGAAGGGAAAGGTCCTCAAAGTCGTGGCGAAAAGGAAAGGCAATTCCATCAATTACCACCAGTCGGACCTAAATCCAGCAGGAAAGGGAAAAACTACCATTACCATCCTACAGACAAAGGACAAAAAGCAGTAAGAACTAATTTTAAGTGCACTGGAATGTTTTCTAAGAGGTGATTGCCATCTTTCAGTTCATACTCAGATGAGCATGAGCACGTAACACCTATTTCTCTCTCTATTTCAGTGACAATCAGCACCTCCCAAGGGTGCAGGGTGGAAATCTCAAGCTCCAAACACAGCAGAACACTTGCTAAGTGCAGGGCTGCACTATGCACAGGGACTAGAGCTGCACCAGCTCAAACAAAACGCTGCACTAAGCTCTCCCATTAGTTAGCTCAGCACAGAGCTGTCCTCCCAAATGTTCCCTTACAGCTCACTTACTTCTGACTTCTCTGCAGCACCTGGTACAGAATACAAAATAGCAAAGCTGGATTTAAAGTCTTACAGAGGAGAAGCTGGAGAAAATTATCATTAAACATTGTACTTCAGGCAGCTCTCCACAAATACTAATTGATTTCACCTTCTCCTTCAAAAACTAAATTCAAACCAAAATCAGAATACATGTTGTCTGTAGTCTCTGTTGAGATAACTCAGCTCATATCAGTGATCTGTCTTAGAGACACAGAGTTTAACATATGCTAAAAGATCCTCCAGACACACTGTGATGGGGCTGAGGATATCTATCTTGCCTGGAGATGTTTGCTCTGCTGAATTATTTCCTTTGTAGCAATCATGAGCTGAAGCTGGAGCACGATGCTGCTGCTGGCTCATCACCCCCAAGACACTATATAAACATTAGCCTGGGATTTTGATTTATTCTAACTTCATTTGGTGTAGCTGTTTTGATGACCCAAGTTTGTCTGAAACACAGGAGGGAAATGGATAGTCTTACAGGGCCTTCGTGTTCAGGTGCCACTCAAATCCTTGCTATCTACCAGTTCTTGCATTAATGCACAAGATAACAGATTGGAAACAATCCAGAAGAACTGATTTTCTGTGTTACTGATTTACCTCATTACTGGGAAGTTGCTTTGTGGCAGGAACATACAAACCTGCACAAACAGCATTCTGTGAAATGGCCCTGAGCCTCTAACTGAAACAAAAAGTCTTAATTTGCAAAAGAAAATTAAACAGCTAGAATTCAAAGAAGATATTCTTCTGTATTCCCATTTTTCCTCCTTCCTACAACTTCTTTTCTATGAGACTGTATATCATCTTCATGCATAATTTCTTTATGAACAGCTTAACAGTATAAACATGACTCATGCTAGAAAGGAGTGTGTACATGGTTATATAACTTGTCTATCAGATGAATATGTCCAGGTAGGATGCAATTTAGGCAATTTTCTCCCAGCTGCACTTGTTACAAGATACAAATAAGTGGACTTAAAGTATTTAGAGTAGGCTGTACAGAGAGAGCTTGGTAGAACCTCCATGTCAGCTTGGCTCTACCAGACCTTAAAGAATTCAGTTTATTACGACAAGAATATTTTCTAACTGTCTTTTCCATATTATTAACAAGTGCTCAAACTAATTCTTATTTCCAAATGACACATTTGGATCTCTAACTCTACATCTCTCTACCTCTACATCTCTACAACTATGTCTCTCTCAAAACCCCCTAAAACCTGAAGGTTTCCTGTGGTCCCAGTCACAGCTCCAGAGGGATCAGACTCACTTTAATGAGAACTGGACTGCAATGAGCAATCTGTCAAGTCACTTATAGCCTGTCAGAGGAACCAGCAGAAGGTCTTAAGGTTCTCCTGCAACCTTCAGTACTTCAGGCTCCAGGCCAAGCACAAATAATCAGCACAGATGGCAGAGGAGAACTGCAGCCCAGTGTAACTGTGCTAATGAAGCCATGTACTTTCCACAAGAGCAAACACAACAGGGCACCGTTAGTACCTGGCAGAGAAAGGGAAATACCAGACTACACTAAGCAAAAGTGAGACTCCCATCTGTGCTTGCAAGAACACAACAGCCTCCAAAAAAGAAAATTTTGGAATATATGCAAAAGACAATCTAACTAAACCACAGAGATTTGTGCTGTGATAGAACAAGGCACCAGTCACCCTCCCCAAATCCTGATAGGGAGTGATCTGCTCTGCAGAATCCAAAAGTCTGGAAGGGAGGTGGTGAAAAATCTGCCTTACAATAGCATTTCTCTTAGACATTAGGTACTAGGAAACTTTCTGGCCCAAGTCCACCCAAGAGTCAAGCTGCAGGCTCTGGTTGCTTGTGGCAACAGAAGATGTACTGGAAAGAAAGAAGAGTCACTAAGATGGTACAGGATGTTTCTGGTCCTCAGTGATCTTCTAGGACAACCAAAAACCTTTCAGACTCCATCACCATGGCCATCACATGCACACCTAGCTCAGATTCTCCTGTAAAGCAGCTCTGTGATGATTCATAACTTGCAGAAATGTAACATGTGGCATCACAGATCCAGTTTCCTCACCTCCAAGTGGAAATTCAGGATGATGGCAGCAGTGGGAGCAAAAGCAAATTACTCTCAAGAGTAATTGGGATGGGAATGAAAAAGCAAACAAGCAGAAGGCTTTACATTTGTAGTCTGGCATCAGCCAATACATTACTGCCAAGCTGACGAGGTACCAAGGTGTTTACTCATGTTACTCTTACTATAACAGACAAAAATCTTTAGTGTGAGGATGAGTGATACTTTCTGATGATCCTGCAATAACCCTTACCTTGGAATGCTCTGAGAGGAATTCTGGGAGGAGGTAGACCTGGGCAAGAAGCTCTATGTAGTCACGACAACGGAAGTAATATATGTGGGAAAGAATTGTTTCAAGAGAGAAGGACTCCAGAGCTTTTAGATGATCTGAGAACAAACAAACAGATGAGTAAATGAGTCAGAAGTCTGTACGAGCATATTGTTACTTTCATCATTCCACCAAACGATGCCCTCCCCACATAGCAACAGCAGAACCCCCAGAAACAGGAACAGGCAAGGTAAAGAGTGTGGAAACATACCTTCCATCTGGCTTGGAAGTCAGGAAGGTGGTGAGCAGATGCTATCCCAGCACTTGCACACAGACACACTGGAGTCTCCAAGGGAGGTCTCCAAAAATGAAAAATTTATTTCTGAAAGAAGAACTTTTCCTGTAAATCACTTTCAAGCCAGAACACCACCAGAGGACATCAGGGACTATTAATCATCCCTTGTTTAATGTACAGGCAGTAGCTCATTTAATACAGTGTCCTTTTACCTCAGTTCAGACACAAGTTTGCCACATAAATTCTCCAAGACTGGCATAAAAGTTGTGGCAGTATCCCCAGGAGACTGATGACTTAGAGAATAAAACTCTTTATTACAAGCAGCCTGGATATATTGACCTTATGGAGGAGCTGAATTGCAATGAAAGGTTTACAATATGGGGTTTCAGCTACACCTAAAACCCCACAAATCATCATGTAGAAAAGGAATTATCCTCAAAGTAGGCTCAGTCTGCAGCATGGCTGCACATACTGATGCACTTCAGGGTATGATACAGACAGGTGGAAGTAAAAGGCTGTCAGCAAGCACTCACTGAAACCCCCAAATGGAACAGTGACACTGCAGCCTACAAGACACTTGTTTCGCTCAATCCTCACTTCCTAGGCAGAAAGAAATGACTTAGCAACATACCTTCTTCTTGCTGAGCTTCAGCAATCAGCTGGCAGTGCTGCACACAGGCAGCTGCAATCTCCACCACTCTGTCCACCATAAAACTTCCCTCAGTGTCAATGAACACAGCTTCTCCAGCAACACCCCCGAAGCACTCTGGGATCTGCACGTCCACTGCCAGCTGCATACTGCCATGGGAAGCAGGAAAGAGAGAGAGATTTACATCACAAAGCTCTCCCAACTCATTCCTGAAGTGACATTTCTCCCTTGGAGCAAGGAGCAGTACAGCCATTATCATGACTGTATTTATAATGCTGTAGGAGGATCAGAGATTGAAGTCACGACAAGAAGATAAATGAACTCATTTCATAGCCAAGTTAAACAAAAAGTGATTCTCGGTTGGACAAAAGTCATCTAACAATAAAATACCATAGCTGTGTCTTCCCAACACCAGGTGCTCCACAGATCTCAGTGATTTTTGTCAGCTGCACACCACCTCCCAGGATGTTGTCCAGTGCTGAACAAAAGGTGATGATGAAGCCCTGGGCTTGCTCTTCTTCCAGAAGCTCCAGGGCTGTGCACTTTCTGGTGGTGCCTGATATCTCAGCAGTCCTTCCTGCATCCCCAAGACATTCCTGCCTCACCATCTGCAACACTTCCAGTGCCTCTTCTTTGGAGATTCCAATTTCTAGAAAAGCCAAACCCACAAACCATCTTATTTTTATAAACAGTGATTGATTTAAAGTGTGATAACTGGACAGAACCTGATCATTCTGCAGCACAACACAAACACATTCACCCTTTCAGTGTAAGATGCACAGTCTGCCACAGCCCTGGGAATAATGATGGGAGTCACAAAAGAACTCAGGGCCTTGACACTCTGTGTTTGGGGTTCAGGTGACAGTAATCTATCTGCAAATAATGATAAAATCAAAGCTGTTTTCACAGCTGGATGAGATCTGGCAGAGCAATTCACTTGTCCTGTGAAAGCAGCCAAATACCAGTGACGCCCACTGATCGTGCTCTGCATTCTCAGGGCACCCCAGGGCTGAGCACCTCATGCTTCATCCCCAGATTTCAAACACAGACCAAAAACCAGAGACAAGATACCTGCAAATATCTCTGTGTGCCTGTACACACAGGTGTCTGTCAGCATCCACCTGCTCCCCCGATCTCCAAGGCAAAACCATCACATCTTATCATAGATAATAAACCTACTGATAATAAAAATTATAGAATCACAGAATGGTTTGGGTTGGAAGGACCTTAAATATCATCCCATTCCCCCTCCTGCCATGGAGAGGGACACCTTCCACCAGCCCAGGATGCTCCAAGCCCCATCCAACCTGACCTGGAACACTCCCAGGGCTGGAGCAGCCACAGCTTCTCTGTGCAACCTGTGCCAGTGTCTCACCAACCCTCACAGGGGAGAATCATGACACACTGCTCACCATGGTTGTGCAAATTGTATTTGAAACTCTTGGATGAGGTAATTTTCTGACTTCATAGAAGCTTATTGTGTTTAAATGACATAGAGAGAAAAGAAGAGGAAAGCTGGGGAAAGAGGAATGAGACAGAGAATGCTCTCATTCTGGGAAGGGGGAAAGGGAAGAGAAAAGGGAAAAGGGAAGGGGAAAGGGAAGGGGAATGGGAAGGAGAAAGAGAAGGGGAAAGGGAAGAGGAAGGAGTAGGGGAAAGAGAAGAGGAAAGAGAAAGAAAAAGGAAAAGGAAAGGGAAGGGAAGAGGAAGGAGTAGGGGAAAGGGAAGAGGAAGGGGAAGGAAGAGAAAAGGGAAGGGGAAGGGGAAAGGGAAGAGGAAAGGGAAGGTGAAGGAGAAAGGGAAGAGGAAGAAGTAGTGGAAGGAGAAAGAAAAAGGAAAAGGAAAGGAAAAGGGAAGGGGAAGTGGAAGGGGAAAGGGAAGAGGAAAGGGGAAAGGGAAGAGGAAAGGGAAGGTGAAGGAGAAAGGGAAGAGGAAGAACTAGTGGAAGGAGAAAGAAAAAGGAAAAGGAAAAGGAAAGGAAAAGGGAAGAGGAAGTGGAAGGGGAAAGGGAAGAGGAAAGGGGAAAAGGAAGGGAAGAGGAAGGAGTAGGGGAAAGGGGAGAGCAAAAGAAAAGGGAAAGGCAAAGGGAAGGGACAGGGAAAGGCAAAGGGAAGGGACAGGGAAAGGAAAAGTGAAAGGGCAGGGCAGGGCCCAGGAAGGCCATACCCGCGGGGCACGGAGCAGCCGGACGGGCTC